CCGCTCTCCCTATAGCATTTTGTAATAGTTTAAGCTAGCCAATAACCACGCTTCTGCTTCTGTAACCTGCTTCTGCTCTATAAGAACCCCAAACCCCAGACCTGGGCGCGCTTCTCCCTTTGTCAGGAGTTGTGCCCACAGGTACCTGTGTAAAATAAAAGCCTCTTGCTATTGCAACTCGAGGGCTCGACTTGTCCTTTGTGGTTTCAATTTTACATTATTCCCTTCCGGAGAGGTGTCACTGAGAGGTGTTAACACCTGCTATCTCCCAGGGGCCCAGGGGATGAAGCTGGTAAACAGCCCAGTCCTGGCAGTGAGGGAGCCGGAGACCTCCTACCCAGAGTACAGTCCCACTGAGGATTCTCATCTCCCTGCTGAAGAGCTCAAAGCCAGTTCAATAAGGGCCCCTTTCTCCCTGTTCTTTTCTGTAAGTCCCTCTCCTACTTCCTGGGGCCCCGGGACCTCAGTCTATCAACCTGCCCCTCCCTTCTCTCGGGCCTCAGCAGAGCCTTTTCATAAATGCAGCCAAGTCTCCTGAGATGCATACACAAAGATAAAGTAAAATAAAAATGAAAAATCTGCTATTTGAGGGTTGGGAGTGTAGCTCGGTTGGTAGAGTGCTTGCCCAACAGGTATGGAGACCTGGGTTTACTCCCCAGCCCCACATAAAACTGGGCACTGTGGACTGAAATCCCAATATTTAGGAAGTAGAGGCAGGAGAGCCAGACTCAGACGTTTAAGGCCAGCCTCAGCTACACAGCCTGTTAGAAGCTAGTATGGGCCACATGAGACTCTTTCTCAAGACATACCAAAAAACTAAACACACACACATGTACAATATTAGTAAAATAAAAGTCACCTATAACAAAGGAAAAGCTCTTTGCCAAAGATCAGACAAGCAGCAAACCCCTCACTGAAGACCTGTGTCCACCGGTGAGCTGCACACAGCGCCAGATTTCTCAGGCCGGCCCAGTGACTTCATTTCTAGGGAAGAGGGAGGGATGCACCGCCACAGTTCGGGCTCAGTTCATCAGTAGAGCCAAGTGGCTCTAGGTATAGACACTCCGGACCCCATATGTTTTGACTAACAGGTTAATTCCTTTCCAAGAAAAATCCAACAATGTATAAATGTATGCATACATTAAATGTACCAGGATCTAAAAGCCAAATACATTAAAAAGAAGCAGCACCAAACTAATCGGTAAGGGTGCTTGCTGTCAACCCCGATGGCCCCAGTTCAATCCCTGGGTTCCACATGGTGGAAAGAGAACTGACTCCCACAGATTGCTCTCTGACCTCCACACATGTACCATGGCTAGAGTATCCCCCCAAGCCCCCAAGGGTCATGGTGGTGCATGTCTATAATCTCAGTACTAGGGAGATAGAGGAAAAAGAAGAAAAAATTCAAGTTCATTAAGCTACAGAGCAAATTTGGGGCCACTCGTGAGAGACTTTCACCCCAAAACAAAAGAATCAGGCACTTCCTTTGCTACCTTGAAACTGTACTAGCAAAAGGGCAGTCGCTGAACTGGGCATGATGGCACACGTATGGAATCCCAGCACTCAGGAGTCCGAGGCCAGCCAGAACTATGTAACAAGACTTTGCCTCAAAACTGCAGTGAGAGACGGCGAGGCTCAGTCAAGTGCTTGCCTGGCAAACATAAGGACGTGAGTTCGGTCTCCAGCACCCACAGGGAAAGCTGGAGCAGTGGCTCAGGCTTGTACTCCCAGTGCTCAGAGGCGGAGACAGTCTCAAACACTAAGGCGAATGATTCCTGAGGAATGACATCTGAGACTGACTTCTGGCCTCCACATGCACACATATGCAATACACCCTCACACACGTGAACACACACACATACAAAAGCTATCACCTCAGCCTGCAATAGAACAGTGAACCAAAATGAACCTCCTCCTCTCTGTAACATACACAGAAAGGTGCTGTGCTATCAGCAACAGAAAACAGAGGAAGACAGTCAGTGGGTAGGAGATGAATTCCACAGGTATGTCTGTCCAGCAAGTTTGCAGAACCTCGGCCCTGCACCCAGCAGCCAAAATAACCACCAAAACTCTGAGGCTCCCAGAGTCTGAGGAGGAAACCTTAGGACCAAAAGAGACCCATTAACTAAATATGATACAGTATTGAAAAATACAGAAAATAAAAGATGAGGAATAGTCATGAAATTGTGCTATCTACAAACAATACACAGGCAAGATGCTCAGACATGCGCAGTGAGACTTTAAACTCCGGCCCCCAAAATGAGAGGCAATTTTTTTGTTTTGTTTTGTTTTTGAGAGTCGGTCACCCAGTAGCCCTAGTGGGCCTGAAACTCTCTATGTAGACCAGATTGGCCTCAATCTCAAAGATCCGCCTGCCTCTCTGTCTCCTGAGTACTGGGATTAAAGGTGTTAAGAGAGGCATATTTTAACAATAGCTGTCTCAAAGTGATTTCAACTCAGAACTTTCTCCCTGCCTCTGGTCAATTCACTCAAACATTTAAAGGGCCCTCGGGAATTCCAACACAGTCCTGAGAACCTGCCAAACTTCTCCCAAAGAGGGAGGTGAGGAGGTGAACAGGAAAGACCCGACTAGGCTCCCCAGCTTCCTCAGCTTGGGTGGTCGTTAGTGGTTCACCATCCACCTCACCTGCCGCGCTGGAGACCCTTGCCGTCTACTGCACTAAGTTATTGGAGGCCTGCGTGGTTTGGGCTCATGTGGTACTCCATCACAGCCTCCTGCCCTACATTCCACAGTTACTTTTAGAGATTAGCCGGCCCTGCCAACTACCCTGGGACATCACCTGTTTCACCGGAGCACAAACACTCTCCGCGGCTAATTCCTGCTAACACAGACATTCCCAGCAGGGCCAGGCACCTGGGGCCTTGAGAAAATGTTTGGGAGAAAACATAAGGCCAGGATTCCCTCCCCCCCCCCCGCCCTTTCCTTCGTATTTTGGTCTTCAAGGACCTTCCTTTGTGGGATTTCGGTTGGGAAACCCAGATTATAATGGGTTTAGGGACAGACTGGAAGGGTTGAAGCTGGCGTGTAGCACGGTGGGAGGCAATCCTGCTGGCTTCCCCATTCTTGGGGAGGAGGCCTGCCTGCGCAGGAAGGGCAGGGCAGGTGTTCCCGGGGAAATTCGATGAATGGTCAGTCCCTCGGGTCAATTGGAGGCGGGGGGGCAACCACGGCTGTGCCTGTTCGCAGAGAGAAAGACACAGGGAGAGGGAGAGAGAAAGAGAGAGGGAAAGAGAGAGAGAGGTCCAGAGGGAGGTAAACTTTTAACCCCCTCACAGCGACAGGTGAAGGAATCTGCCAAGGAGGTGAGAGCTTCTAGCCCCAGGTGTCAAAGGAGGAAACTGAGGCACCGGGGGGGGGGTGCTCGCCCTAGCAGTGAAGCAGGGCGGATTCCGGGATAAAAGTCCCGAGCCGCAGCCTCTTCCATGCCCAGCAGGTTTCCTAATCCGACCTCGATCTTTCCCGTCCGGAGAAGCCGGGAAGAGGAAGCCGGCTGGTTCCCGACCCAGCGGGCTGGCAGGCGGCTCCCCACTTTCTTCTGGAAGACCCTATCCCCATCCGAAGCCCAGCATCCAGAACCGCCCCCGCCGACACCGGGACCCCGCAGCCCTTCCTCCAGCGCACGGCTGTTGAGCCCCGCCGCGGCCTCCCGGGTCCCCTCCGCGCCCAAGGTCGCGGCGCAGGGCACCCGCGATGCAGCAGAGATGGGGGACTTAGGGTCCCCGGTGCCCTCGTGGATCTGACCCACCCACTGGGGCTGCTGGAGGGGGTCGCGGAGCCCCCTCCTGCAGAGGCTAGCCCGCTGCTCGCCGCGCTCAACTTCGGGGTGCGTCTAGGGCGCAGGCAGCTAGCGAGCAGGCTGGGGGACCACGCCGCGGGGCTGGTGCGCACACAGTGGTCGCCTGTGGAACAGGTGGCCCGGAGGGGGACCGAGCCCCCGGGGCCACGCAACCCACCTTCCTCCCGACCCCGCCCCGGGACCCGGCTGAGACTCAGGAGGGAACCCCAGCTCGCCGCCGGGTCTCCGCGCCCCGCGTACCTTCAGCTCCCAGCCATGGCTGGCCGTGGACAGTGAGGGGGGTGGAGGGCCGCGAGCACAGCGGGCGGGAGACCGCGCCCTCAAGCCTGGGCGGGATCACCCGCCCCGCCCTGCGGGGCCGGGTCCCCCTCTGCCTGCCGGGTCATCCCTAGCCTGCGGCCAACAGGTGTGGGGCGCTTCCCCAGCCTCTGGGCCACCGAGGCTGGACGTCTGCTATTCCTGCGCCAGGATGACAGGCGTGGGTCCTCGCCTCGGGCTCCCTTCCATCCTTTGAACAGATAGGAAAGCCAAGGCTCGGAGAGGTTAAATGAGTGGCTTCAGAGTCCCGCAGCTGAGAAGGGGAAGCAACCCAGTCCGAGCCCGGGTCTGCCTGACGCCACTGCCCAGCGTCTGTTGCCCACACTCCTTGCTGCTCCGCCCCCTATCCTCCACCCAACCCCAGGTCTGCTCTGACTCGGGTAAGGGCAGAGCCGGATTCGTTTTCCTCGGCAGGCAGCGGAGTTTCAGTTCTCTCTTTGGATCCTCCTTTCCCGCTCCCTCTTGTCTCCCCCTGGATGCACACTGCGCCCTCACTGCCTCCCGCCCCATCCTTCTCAGCAGACTAGCCGGTGCCCAGGCCTCTGAGAAGATGGAAACACTCCGTCCTGGCCCTGAGAACAGTCTGGCAATAATAGCAGGTGGTGGATAAACATGCTTTGAATAAGGAATTCAGTAGAAAATTCCCACCCCACCTTCTGACATGGCACGCAACTCCTGGCCTGCTGGCAGTGCCCACCCCTTCCCCTTCCCAGACCCCCAGCTGACAGCCATCTGGCAATCCTGCCCCTCTGGTGTGTTGGATCAGTCTGATCAGCGCCATGAGCTCACTTCTCCCATGATTTGGTTTGGTTTGGTTTGGTTTGGTTTGGTTTGGTTTGGTTTTTTCAGACTGGATCTCATTCTAGCTCAAGCTGTCTTGTTACTGGATCTGACCTCAAACTTGTGGCAATGCTCCTGCCTCAGCCTCCCAAATGCTGGACGACAGGCTTGAGGCATCAAGCTTATCTACTCTTCTCATCTTAAAACTCCAGTAACAAACCTGCGTGATTGCCCACACCTTTAATCCCAGCACTAGGAGGCAGAGGCAGGCAGATCTCTGTGAGTTTAAGGCCAGCCTGGTCTACAAAGTGAGTTCTAGGCCAGCTGGGGCTACATGGAGATCCTGTCTTTTTAAAAAAGACCAAGAGGCTGAAGAGATGGCTCAGCAGTTAGACCACTGGCTGCTCTTGCAGAGGACCTGGGTTCAAATCCCAGCACCCACATGGTAGCTAACAACCGTCAGTAACCTATCCATCTGCTGCTGACCTCCAGATGTACACACCACCTCACCCTGGCTTCTCTGACTTCCCTATTTCAAACCAGGCTTGCCCATCAGGGTATCCCCCTTGCCTCCTGGACATTCCCCCAGGTACGTATAACCATGTAATATGCTTCCTTTGTTGTTATCGCTTTAATTTTTTTTGCCTGTGTATGTGTAAATGGTGTACATGCATATTCTTGTGTTGTGTGATGCATGTGTATGGGCAGATGCATGTACACATGTGTGCATGCTCATATAAAGGCCTAAAGTGGATGTTAGGTGTCTTCCCCAGTAATTCTCCACTTAATAGTGTCTCTCTCACTGAGCCCATCACTTCCCGCGTGTCTAGCTAGCCAGCTTGCCCTGGGGATCCTGTGTCTCTGCCTCCTTGGTGCTGGGATTACAGGCAGCCATCTTGCCTTCTGCAGTCTTTCGCATGGGTCCTGGGGATCAAAATTTCAGTCTTCATGTTTGCATGGTGTCTTAGTTACTTTTCCTGTTGCTATGATAAAATGGCCTGAGAAAAGCAAAGTAAGGAAAGAAGGGTTTATTCTGGTTCACTCACTGTTCAAGGCTTAGTCCATGATGGTGAGGAGTCAAGACAGCAGGGCCTTGAAGAAGCCTGTCACATCATATCCACAGCCAGGAAGCAGAGAGAGATGCATGCGTGCTGCTGCTCATCTCCCTTTCTTCACTCATAGCCTAGGCTCTTACCCAGGGTATGGTCCCAGCCACAGTGGGCAAGTCTTCCCACCTCAATGAACACAATCAAGATAATCCCTCACAGAACCCAGAGGCCCATCTCCCAGGTGATTCCAGGTTCTGTCAAGTTGATGGTTAACACATCATCACCACTTTACCACTTGTCAACCTGACACCCAAACACATCACTTTGGGGGTGGGGCATATCTTTTTTTAAAGACAAAGTCTCCCTGTAGCCCCAGCTGGCCTGGAACTCACTGTGTAGATCAGGCTGGGATTAAACGCGTGCACCACCAGGCTGAGCCTTAAACATCATCTTTGAGCCCACACTCCTTGTCTCATGACCATGTGGAAATCTCAGGATATCGACAATTCCAGGACCATGGAACATACCCCGAGGAGATCTACAGGCATGGAGTGGCAACAGATACTGGACATAGAGCTGCAAGACTTGGTGGGGTTTTTTTGTTGTTGTTTGTTTGTTTTAGCAACAACTACTTTTATTGGCTGAGCCATCTTACCAGCCAATGAAGTGTATTTTCAATATCAATGTCAAAACACCAGTGACCAAATTTTGTCTTCTGGTAACCGTGTTTCTTCTATAAATATATATTATGGTACCTTTTGAATGCCAGGGCCAGCATCAGTGCATGGGTTAAACAACCTGTGAATTGTAAGGAAGCACACCATTCTACCTGTTAGCTCTCTTTATAGATCAAGTGGCTCATATTTAAGGTGGTCAGTTCAGCATTAAGATGGACAGTCAGAGAGAAAAGGGAACCATCAGAACATAGGTCACGAAGGTAGTCACCTGATGAGGGAGAAATAAATCAGGGGCGAGGACCTTGTGCTCTGCCTAAACATAAGTATGGGAAGACAGTGGCCAACAGGTATGCTGAATGTGGGGCTCCACAGGACTTTTAAGTCCTTGACTGCAGTTCCAAAGAATAGCTGCAACACTCCAGGAGTTCACAGCCTGGAGAACTGATTCTTGCTCATTCATTATTGTGTCAGGGAAGAAGCAAGAGACAGGAGCTTCTTTCATGGTAGCCATTTGACTTCCTTGGCACCCAAGATGAAGGTTCCAGTTAATGACCGCAGCATTCCTGTCGTCATGGGCTTGTGCTCCATCACTTGTTAGTTAGGGGTCTTAGGAGGATCCCTTCTATGATCCTTCTTTCAACCATTGGGGAGAGAGATTTTTGTTCTTCCCTGCTTCAAAATCTCTCTCTCTCTCTCTCTCTTGAATGTTTGCATGTATGTGGACATATGTGTGTAGGTGCATTTGTATATGTGTGTGAGAGTGTGGAGGCTCAGTATTGATATCAGGTGTCTCCCTCAGCCACTTTCAACCTTCTATATTGAGGCAGAGTTTCTCACCGAATCCAGAACTAGCCAAAGACTTGGTGTTTTTTCCGTATAATGTATATGTATATATAATGTTTTCTATAATGTAAAATGCATTTATTCCACTTTTTAAAATCCATGAAATATAAAATGCATTCAGTTCCACTTTAAAAAATAGGGGCTAGATGGGCGTGGTGGCGCATGCCTATAATCCCAGCAGAGGCAGGTGGATCTCTGTGAGTTCAACACCAGCCTGGTCTACCTAGTGAATTCCAGGCTAGCTGGGGCTACAGGGAGACCCTGTCTCAAAAAAGACAAAAGATAAAAAAATTAAAGTAGGGGCTGCAGAAGGTTCAGTGGTTAAGAGCACTTACTGTTACTATAGACAATCTGGGTTCAGTTGCCTGTACCATTGGGTGGTTCACAATGACTCTTAACTTCAGTTCCCTTTGGCCTCTGTGGGCACCTGAACGCATACAGTGTACATAAACTTACACAGGCACACATACACACACTTAAATAAAAAGAAATATTTTTGAAAAAATGAAAAGTCCCATAGTGTTTAGCAAATTCAACACTTTAAAAATCCAAAGCCTCTCAACTATGAGGTCCTATAAAATGAAAAACAAGTTACATACTTTCAACATATAATGCACAGAGTAAACATTTCTATTTCAAAATGAATACACTAAAGGTATAGCAAGAGCTGATCAGACCCAACAAGACCAAAATCCAACATAAAAAGAGCCAAATCCTGCAGCTCCATGTGATCTGGGGGTGCGTTCTACGGTCCAGGAGTCATCAGTATTGTGAGGTCTCCACTTCAGCCTGGCCTTCACCTTCACCGCTTGACACAATGGCCTCTCAGGCCTCTTTGCCGGACTCCAGCCTTGCCATACCTTGCCTGGCCTCAGTTGGTCTCTGAAACCATGGAGCAGGACTCACTCAATCTCCCATCCACACCTCCAAAACCAGTACAAACAGGAATACACTGACAAACTCTGTTGCCAGCTGGGGATGCAGCCTGGCCCCTTGGACCACAGGTACATCAGGTTCTGTGTGCTGACCCCAGAGAAATACCTTCCTAGGTGTTGTTTTGAGGAACAGAGAACCTTCTCAGCTTAGGCTCTCTTCCTTTCAATGAATTCGGATCTTCACAATATAGAGGTCCATCTTGTACTGAGATCTCCCGGGGCAGGGGTGGCCACTGCCTTGTTCATGGCTGTGTATCCTTCCTGGGATAGTATGGAAAAGAATAGTCTGATGACCAAAGTGAGGGGCACAAGTGTCCCTTCGGAATAGCTTCACTCCTGACAGGCTGGTTATAATACCACGGGTCACAAGGCAGATTAATAAATTAATAATCCAAGGTTGTCTTTGGTCTGGGTATTGGTGGGGGGGTTAGGGCTTGCAGCTAAAGGAAACTGCATGTCATAGCAGGCTTGCTTATCAACTCTGTCACCAGAGAGCTGCAGGGAGCATGACCGGATTTCTGGGAAAGTCCAGGCTCCAAGAAGGCCTGTAACCTAAGACCCAGAGAACCAATGGTTGAAATGTACCAGCATCACAGCAGCTTACCTGGTGATAGAATCTGAGCAAGCCTGAAAGGATGTGGGGCTGTGGGTGGGTGTTGTCTCCACCTGCAATAAGTCACAGATCTGCCCAAGTCTCTCCAAAGTGAGCAAGCACACAGGAACGGAAGCGAGCAGCTTCTGAGAGGCAGGATGCTGGGAACAGCAAAGGGCCAGGGAAGAGCAGGTAGAGAGCCTTGGTTGTGACCTGAGAGCAATGGCCTGGAGTTCACCCTGTGCTCACCTGGGGGCCAGGAGTGGCTTACCAGCAGTGGAAGGAAGTGAGTTTAGAGAAGATCCTGGGGGCAGGGGTGGGGGCTGGAGGGG